GTGCCCTTTAGCAGGGAGCCCCCTGCATGCCCCATCACTGTCTGCCTGCAGGTTGGAGACGCGGATGGCGGCGGACATCAGCTCCATCATGCAGCTGCTGCAGCGCCAGGCTGCTCTCGTGCCCCCTGCCTACAGCACGGTGTCATCCCCTCATCAGCCTCCTGGTCCCCCCCCGTGCCCGCTGCAGCCCATCCTCCCCATCACCCCCATCCAGCCTCTCTCTCAGGTGAGCACCCCCAAAATGTGGGGCAATCCCACAGGTTTGGGAGCAGCCCTGTGCCCCATTTTCCGGCTCTGTGGCGAGCCAGCACCATTGCAGAGACCCTAAGATTTGGAGTAGCCCCTCTCTTGTGTCCCATCTTTCGGCCCCACACTCTGCTGGAGTCACTCCTGTGCCCCCCTGGTGTAAGGCAGCCCTGCTCCTGTGCCCCATGGTGAGCTGGGGCCAATGCTCTACCCCTCAGATTTGGGGCAGCCCTTCTCCTCGGCCCCGTTTCCCTTTCTTCTTTCCCTGTGGTGAGCTGGGGTGACACCTGGCCTCCCGAATTTGGGGCAGTTTCTCTCTCCTGTCCCATTTTCCAGCCCCACAGCAAGTTGGGGACACAGCTGAGTAGTCCATATTGGACTGAACCCCATCTTCCAACTGTAGGGAAAGCAGGGGGGCCACTGCTAAGCCCCCCTGGTTTGGGGCAGCCCCTGTCCCATGTCCTATTCCCTAACCCTAACCTTCCCCACAGTGAGCTCGAGTGACTCCTGAGCCCCCCAGGTTTGGGGTGCCCCTTCTGCTATGCCCTATCCCGCAGCCTCATGGTGAGCAGGGACCATTGCTGAACCCCCCAGGTTTGGGGCAGCCCCTCTCTCGTGCCCCATTTTCCAGCCCCACTGCTCTCTCCCATGCCCCACAGAACCCGTACCCGGGGGTCCCACCACACACCCCATCCCGGTGCCCCACATCCCCTCACTCTGCTCTCTCCCTCAGGTTCCCAGCTTCCCAGTGCCCCCAGAGCTGCGCGGCGCTGGGGGTCCCCCGCCGCCCCCCGACGTGGTGCTGCTGCTGGAGCCGTCCCCACGCCGTCGCTCGCTGCCCGGCCCGCTGCCTCCCGCGCAGCCGCTGCACAGACACTGCTCCGATCCCGGCAGTTAGGGGGCAGCGCGGGACGGGGTCGGGACCCCCATCCACGGACGCGGGACCCCGTCCCCAGGACGCCGGGGTCACGGCTGCCGTCCCCACGGACATTCCGCCCACGTTAGCTGGCCTAACCCCGGGCCGGGCCGGTGGCAGCGGGTGTGGGCTGCTCTCGCCCTTCCTCCTCCTCCTCCTCCTCCTCCTTCTTCTCCTCCCCATAGTGCTGCAGCGGGGGGACGGGGGAGCGGGGCAGTGTGCGTGTATGCATTTCCGTGTGCGCACGCCTGTCCTCGTGCACAGATGTGTCTGATGCACACGTGTCTTTATGTGCGCCCTGTGCGTCCGCGTCCGTCTGCGCGCTGCGGCCCTCTGCCCCGTCTGCTTTGTGCACACGTGGGGCCGCGTGTCCGTGTGCTTGCCGCTGCGGCGACGCTGCGTGTGTCCCGCTGTGCTCCTGGTGTGCAAGGTGCAAACGCGCTCCTTCTCCGGGCGTGGGGTGGGCGCGTGTCCTTGTCTGTCTGCCGTGGGGCCGCCGTGGGGCAGCGCGTGGCTCCGGCTTCTCCCCTCCCTGCGCTCCCTCCCCACGGCACAGGGGTTGGGGGAGGTCCCGCTGTGCCGCCGCACGCACAATGTGGTGGGGAGGGCTGGGGGGCGCGGGCAGGGTCCCCCTGCAGCCCCCCAACGCGCGTGCCGTGTTCGTGCCGTCGTCCCGTAGGTCTCTGTGTGCCCCCACCCCCAGCCTTTTTACACCGCCCTGCATGTCGCCTTCTGTGGTAGGAGCCCCCGTCCCGCACCCCAATAAAGCGGACCGAGGACTGCAGTGTGTGTGCGGTGCGCTCAGAGCTGGGGGACACAGCTGGGGACCCCCGGGCTGGGGGAGCAGAGCGCCATAGGGGGGATGCGTGGGCGCACGTGGCCCTGTAAGGACACAGAAGCCATAGGATGACTGCCGATGTCGGCACCATGAAATATTGCAGCATCGGGGGCCCCGTGCACGCAGCCCCACAGATCAGAGGGCGACACAGGAGGCACTACCTGAGCCCCCCGCGGTGCTCACACGGGCCAGTAGGTGCCATTGTAGGAGAAGGGCTCTGGCGCCACGCAGGGCCCGGGGCTGTCAGGGGTCCAACGCTGCACCTCCAGGCGCGTGAAGTCGGGGTCCTGCGGGCGCACGATGACGGCACCGCGCGACGCCATCGACGGGTCTTCATCAAAGAAGTTGAAGGGGCGCAGGAAGAAGCCGACGCTGTTCCCGGGGGTGGCCGTGTTGGGGATGTCCTCCGCGTGAGGGACGTGCAGGAATCCCACCGTCACCCAGGCCACCAGATCCTGCACAGAGAGGCAGCGGCCATCAGCGCAGCACGTGGCGCCGGGACCCCGGCGGCCCCCCCTGCAGCCCTCTCCCCTCATCACCTGGTCCTCGATGCTCTCATCGTCGCGGATGAAGCTCTCGAAGCTGACAGCGGGCTCCCAGGGGTTGTTCTGGTTGTAGAGGCTGCTGCTGGACGCCTCGCTCTCGCGGTGCCGCGTCACGGCCAGGTGGTACCTTCAGGGTGGGGGGTCGGGGACAGCGTCAGCCCTGGGGCAGCGCATGGGGCTCTGCGCCCCCCAGCCCCCCGGCCCCACCTGCCCCACGCGACGCCCTTCTCCTCCTTCCAGCCGCGGGGCAGCACGCGCCCGGCGTGCGAGCGGTGCTGGATGCGGTAGCTGCGCGCGTGGCCCCAGCGGTTGCGCTGGCGCGGGTTGGAGAAGAGCAGATAGCGGGGCAGCGGGGCGCCCAGCGGGAGGGCGGCCTGGCGCTCTGTGCGGCGCGGCTGCCGGCGCAACCAGGGCTGCACCACGCGTGCGCCGGGGCTCCACGGGTTGGAGATGTTCTCGAAGCTGATGTCCATCGTCTCGAAGCTGTTGCCGGTGCCTGCGAGCGGAGAGGCCGTCAGCTGCCAACAGCAGCACCGGGGGTCCCCCAGCGCCGCACAGCAGCCCCGTTCCCAGCGCCCGCAGCCACACCTGCGACATCCAGATCCACCTTGTAGTGCACCAGGTGCGTGTGAATGTTGCCCAGCACGTGGCTGTGCACACGGCTGCCGTAGCGGCGGCCCCGCGGCGTGTAGAAGGTGGCGTGGATGTAGCCGGTGGCGTGCACCTTGGCCTCCAGCACGCCGTTGGGGTACAGCAGCACATCCCAGATGTAGTCGTAGTTGTAGACGGTGGAGGTGGTGCGCAGCACCAGCGCGTGCCCCTCCAGCCCTGCGTAGAATTGGAACCCCCCACGGAAGTCGCTGTCGAAGTGCCGCCGCAGCGGGACGCCGGTGGGCAGCTCGAAGACGCAGAGCGCACGGCGGAAGCGCCGCGGCCCCTCGCTGTCGTACAGGTGGTGCGCGTCCAGGAAGGTGGACACCTCGGGGCAGTCGACGCCGGGCGCCAGCTCGTAGGTAACGGAGCCCATGCCCCAGCCGGCGTCCAGATACTTGGTCTGCATGGCGGCCGGCGTGTCACCGCCGTAGAAGGCGATGGCCTCCTGCACGCTCACCTCGTAGGCCACGCGCTCGCCGTTGAAGCGCACGTCGAAGAGCTGCAGGCCGGCGGAGGAGCGCAGGCGGAAGGCCAGGCTCCAGCCGCCGTACTCCAGCCGGTTGCCACGCAGGCGGTAGCGCCGGCCCTGCGGCTCGCACACTTTGGCCCCGTGCACCTCGCTGGTGGTGCCGGTGGTGAAACGGCCGCGCGGGATGTACGTGGAGAAGAGGTGCGGGGCCGCGGGGTCGGGCAGTTGCGCCACCACCACCGTGCCGCGCTCGTAGCGCTCGGCCAGCTCCTGCGGGCTGGAGAAGTACTGCCCGTTGTACCAGACGCTCTGCACCGCCCAGCGGCGCGGGTCGGGGTCACGGTGGTCCAGCAGCAGCTCCAGCCCCACGGGGTGCAGGAAATACCCCTCGACGAAGCGCTGCAGGATGAACCACGTGCGGCGCTCACCGGGCGCCAGCCCACGGGGCGCGATGTCGGAGAAGGTGAGGCAGCGCTGGCTGCAGTTGTGGTACCAGAAGCCGGAGGTCTCTCGCAGCAGGCGGTACAGCGGCTCGGTGGCCGCCACCAGCGCGCGGTGCAGCAGCTCGTACTCCCGCATCGTCATGGGCCGTGCGGAGAAGGGCACGGTGCGGCCGCCCTTGAGGCGCAGCGGGCGGTAGGAGCGGGGCCGTGGAAGGGGCCCGACGGCAAACTCGGTGACGTTGGGCTCCGCCTGCGCCCCGAAGAAGATGACGGCTCGCGCCTGGCGCCGGGGCACGGGGCCGCCGCCATCCAGGTGCCATAGAGCCGCCCGCTTGGTGGGGGGCAGCAGCTCCACCAGGAACAGCGTGTTCTGAGCCAGCGTGTCCCCGCTTTGTGCCGACAGCCCCAACTCCGGGCGGCCCCGCAGGAAATCCCGCACCGCATGCAGCTCCGCCGGCGTCAGGTCAGCAAAGATGGAGGCTTTGTCCAGCGCTGCGGCCTTGCGGGCGGCGTTGGCCACCACCAGGCACAGCGTGGCCAGCGCCCAGGTGAGGCGGAGCAGATGCATCATCCCGGGCACCTGAGGACACAGCCTGGGTGTGGGCTGAGATGGGAGCACGGTGCCAGTGCCAACCCCGCATCACGCACCGCTTGGCCCCGTGGTGCTCCACCTCCTCTGGGACCCCCACCCAGCACCGCCCCGCAGAGCTGGGATTCCTCTCCCCCGGCCCAAAGCTGGCCCTACACTGTGCTCTGCGTGGCAAAGGTCCCACCAGCAGGGCCGGTGTTGTGCCCACAGCTGTGCCACCCCCCAGCCTGCTGCACGAGGGTCCCCGTGCTCCTGCAGAATGCAGGGTGGGAGGGTCCCAGGGGTCCAGTGCCTGAGCAGTGACATGCCCAACACGCAGCAGTGGTTTGCACAGAGCAGTGATATCCGTGGGGATGGGGCAGCCGAAAGCAGCAGCAGCAGCAGTGGGGCTGGGGGGGGGGGGGGGGGGGGGTCACAATGTGCACAACTGCCCAGGGGGGATGCCCAAGAAAAGGGCGTCAAGGCTGCAGCTCTGTGGGACAGGGGCTATGCTGTGGGGCTCCTCGTTGCCCCAAAACGTGCAGACAGAAGGTTGCAATATTGACATGGGGCAGCCCCGCAAGCTGAGCCCCCCAACCCACCGCTCACCCCCCCGCCACCCAAAGGCAGCCCCTCTGAGCTCCCCTCACTCACCTCGCGGGGGTGCCGCTCTGCCCCGTTCCCACCCCCGCCCCCCCCCCCCCCCCCCCCCCCCGGGCTCCTCCACCCCCCCGGGTCAAGGCCGGAGCGGGGTTGCAGGGTTCAGCAGCAGCGGTGCCAATGGGGAGGGGCACAACACCCACCCGCCCCTCCCCGCCAGGAGCTGCACTCTTTATGGCCTTTCAGTGATCAAACTCCAGGTTCAGGAGAGATAACAGCGGGGACAGGCATGGGACGGTCCCACTCGTGCCCGTGGCTTTGTCCTGGTCACGCTGCATGGGGGAGGGGGTGGGGAGGTGCTGGAGGTGCTGCCCTGACTCCCCCATCCCCTCCCCATGCCCCCAAAATCAAAGGGTGCACATTGGATGCACCCAGACCCAGAAATCACGCCTCCATTTTATTCCCTCACGACGCTGCAGAGAGCACAGGGGGCCGTGGTATGGACCCCAACCTTGGGGATGGAGACCCCTAAAGTACTAAGGCCCCCTCACACACAGACCCATGAGGCTGAGATCCCTGTCCCTTTGCAGCTCCATCCCCTTCTTAGAGTACAGATCCCCTCTGTGGGACCAGGATGTCCCAAGGGGCTCAGGTCTCCCACCCATGGGACCAGCCCTCCCTTTTGTGGCACACAGTGGAGACGAGGTTGTGGGGCTGCAGCTCAGACAGGCTCAATCCTGGGGGTCAGGAAGAGAGACCCCCACCCTGCAGCCCTGTTCCAGGGGTCCCATGCACTGCACACGTCTCCAATGAGCCCCTCATCCCTATGGGCACAGACCCCAATGAGCTCCATGTCCCCAGACTC